TATTTATGTGTGTGTGTGTGTGGCCAGCTCAGCCCACCAGGGGGCCGGGCTGGCTGGCATGTGGTGCTGGGGGATCGAACCGCGGTCCCTGTGCTTTGCTAAGCTTGTTCTAAGTAGGTGCTTTAGACCACTGAGCCATCTCATCAGCCCCTAACCAGGGTTTTAAAAAGTTTCATTGTCTGTGTTGTTGTTGCAGACTAACTTTATTCAGCTCATACTTATTTAGCTCATTGTTTTAGAGGCTGAAAGCCCAAGCCACATGGTGCAGGCTCTGGCAAGGGTCCCCCTTGGCAAGGTCACCTTGTGGCAGATGGCAATGCGGGCACAATGTGTGGGAGGAAGTGATCACATAGCCAAACAGGAAACCAAATTTGGATTTGCTCTTATAACAAGTTGGTCGTTCAAGAGCTCAGGTGTCTCATGAGAATTACTTTAGTCCCTCCCACGATCGGTGTACTTAATGACCTAAGGAACTCCTACTAGGCCCCACCTGGTAAAGATTTCACTGCCCCGCGGCAGTGCCGTACTGGGCACCAAGCTCGTAGCACAGGGACCCTGAGTTTGCAGGCATATTCAAGCCACGTCAAACTGTAACATCTGTGACTACCCAAGACAGAAATGCTTTCCAGGGTGTGCACTGGGACTAAGGTAACTACTGTGGCATCTGAGGCCATATGACATGGAGGGTCCCAAGGGACAGGGAGTCCAGGATGTGACAAAGGTAGAGAATGCTAGGGAGGATTGAATGTGCGTTTGGGTAGCACAGATGGTTTCCTACTCTGCATCATTCACATGGGCAGACAGGCCTAAGACAAAGTAAGATAAGGCAAAAAAAGATAAGGCAAGACAAGACCTAAATCCTTACACAGCTATACAACAGGGAAGGCCTTGGTGATAGGAAAAGCCTTTGGCAAGATGGTATGCAAACTGTGTAAAGATGGCAGACTTTGCTGTAAGAGAAGACTTTTGCTGGGCAACTCCACATGTAAAGCTAGAAGGCAGGGATGGGCGGGAGAAAGCATCTGCATGGGCTAGGGAGAAAGCTTAGTAGAACAAGTGCTTGCCTGGAAAGCACAGGGTCCTGAGTTCAATCCCCAGTACCACAAAAAGAAAGAAAGAAAGAAAGCAGCTACAGGTCGTGGGACAAGCAAGCATGTAGCTGTTCACATCCCACCAACCATGCTACAGGTTCATGAAACAAAGGCCTAAGAATTAGTACTCAAATTTGTGTTCCATGGGCAAGGACAGGCAGGTCAACAATGGTCTTAAGATAATTAGGCACTAAGGGTTGGCAGCAAAACCACGGTGAGAACATTTCTGGCCACCACATAACTGGTGTCAGGTTCTGGCACTGAATGTTTGAGGGAGCTTGGCCAGGTGTGCTTACAGGATACAACCCACATGTGCCGTCGTCTTCTTTTTTTTATTTTTTATTTTTTTATTTGCGGAGCTGGAGATTGAACTCAGGTCCTTGTGCTTGCCAGGCAAGCTCTTATTCAACTGAGCTTTCTCCCCAGCCCCCAACCAACATACAAATGCATGCGCATGTGCTAAGAAAGCTAGCTAGTGCACACAGCCCTCCAGATGGGGCTTCTGCCTGAGTATCTCATTGGAGTTGGGCCCAGAAAGAACATGTTTCTGAGTGCCCAGGGAATGGGAGCAACGATCCCAAACCCTGCTGGCTCTGGGAGCTGCTGGTTATAGCAGTGAGTGTGAGGGAACAGGGCGAGGACAGACTCTTACTTAGTACAAATGTTGAGGAAGGTAGAGCTGGTCAGTGTGAGGTGGGTGGGTGGCATGGTCCATGTGTGGTGCCTGCTGGCTTCTGAGAGGCAGTGGGGTTTAGAGAACATAGGAGTGGCACCGTGATGCCTTTTACGCCCTGCAGCACTGAGGCTTGTCCTGTGTCCCCTCAGAGACTGGCATCACTTTACCTGGCAGTGAGAGCAAAGCCCGGTTGACATGGCCTTTGGACCCCTTTTGCCTCCTCTCCCAGTGGACCTCTGCCATATTGGTAGCCTCTGTCCCCATTGTTTTGAATGCTGAGTCTCATCTCCACCTGGCTGTTACCAGGGACTGCCATGTACTTTTGGCATCTGCCAAGTCTTTGGCTAGGCTTGTCTATGTGTCTGTGAGTCTGTTTTCTTTATGATGCTCCTCTTAGATGATGCACAGAATGAGGTTTAGGGCTAGGCTCACTTAAGAGTCTCATCCTTAGAGAAGAGCTTTGGCCTCTTGCCACTTGGCTCTTAGTAATGAACCACTGGTCCCTATGAGGGATTTTTTTCTTCTTTTTTTCTTTTTGAGACAGGGTCTTGCTATGAAGTTCAGGCTGGCCTTGAGCTCACTTTGTAGCCCAGGTTGGTCTCAAACTTGCAAGAGTTCCTCCTGCCTCAGCTTCCTGAGTGCTGGGAGTACAGGGTGTGCCACCACACCCGAGTATTTAGAAGAGAAATAAGAAGCCCCAGGCTGGAGAAGTGCTCCCAAGGAGGTTAGATTTTAGAGGCAGAAGGCGGGCAGAGGATGATGGAGGCCAGGAGAGTTCTGAAAAGCACGGTCAGCGGATGGGCTGGAAGTGCCTAGAAAGCTGTCCTACCTAGCCAGCACTGTGCACTAAGATTAACTGGAGCCAAATCCAGGATGCTTTCTTCCTGTTTTACAGAATTACTGGGTTGCTAAGCCTGAGGAGCTTGAGCTGTAAGTCTGGGAAGACTTCTACTAGGGTTCTTTGAGGACAGGGAGCTCTTGGTTATGTGAAGAGGTCTTTCTTTATGTTCACAATTTACAGATCTTTCTGGCTGGAATCCAAGTGTACCAAGGGACTTCAGGTGTGTGCAGAAAGCCCTGGAGCATTTCCTTCCTGGGAGAGACCTGTGTCATATCCCTGCAAGAGCCTAGCAGCATTCACAGTTCAATGTGGGTGACCATACCCTTCACTTCCTTGACAAGGTCAGTGAAGGCAGTGCCAGGTACCAAATGGGATTATTCCTGGGCTTCCCTGAACATAGGCCCACCTGTCCTCTGGGCATTTGTCCTAGTGGGAGCTGGGCCCTGAAGGGTGGCAGAGTGTCTGGCCCAGTGCCTAGAACCAGCCATGGCACCTGGACTCTGTTCAGTGGTGAGTCAGACAGACAGGGCAGCTCTACGACCAAGGGCAGACTGTAGAGAACTAGGGTCCCCTATTGGCAATAAGTGTTGTCTGTCACAGGAACACATCCTTTGTGATGGTGTCTGTGTGAGTTGAGCTTAACTTCAGCCATACCACACAGCTGACATGTCTCGATTGTGTGTCTGTTAAGTCCTTGTGTGCTCTGGCAGACAGGCAGCCCTGTGGACCAGGGTACCAGTCAGCTGTGGTCTCTTAGAGGGTATACTAGGGCTCTGGTGGTGGAGGAGGAGGAGGGAATGGGTCTTTTAAAAAATGATGTGTGTATTGTAAATTCTGGAGAAATCTTGACCAATCTGACTT